GGGGGGGGGGGGGGGGCGGGGGGGGGGGGGGGGGGGGGGGGGGGGGGGGGGGGGGGGGGGGGGGGGGGGTATTACGAGAACGGAAAAGAACATACGGTATCTATAGAATCTGGGGTCTGGGGTCTGGTGGGGTGGGGTTTTAGGTACTTGTAAAGTTAAGGAAAGTGACGGGTGGGTTGGGGATGTACATACACGTACGCACGATACATACAGTAGAAACGAAGAAAAAAACACACACAACACACAACATGGACACAAGAGAGAGAGAGAGAGAGAGAGGTAGGCAGAGTACAAATTTAAAGGAGAGGCTTGTTTAATTTGATTTCGAGTTTGCTGTTCTTTCGAGTTCGAGTTCGATTTCGAGTCTGTCTATACGAAACAAGGGTCGCACGACGGGGGGTCCACCGCGCATCTCCGCGCACCAAGGCCGGCATCAACATCAACACCCAAACGGCCGGACCTGGCCGCGCCCAGGCGCCCCGCGGCGGCTCCCCAGCTCGCCCGCAAAACTCGAGCGCGCGGAATAATACGCGAGCTCCGACTCTGCGTCGTCCGGGTGCCGCGGCGCAAACGCCTCGAGCGCGCGCGGGTGGACCTCGCCATTCAGCGCCGCAAGCGCCCGCGCGCGCTCGCGCTCGCGCTCCCTCAGCGTCGGCGCCGAGCTCGCAGGGGACGGGGACACCGCGGCGGCGTCGGGGGTGCGCGGCGGGGGCTGGAGCACGCGGGTCCTGCGCCGATGCGCGCGCGTGCGGGGCGGGGAGGGCGGGGCGGGGTGCCACGCGGACGGGCAGAGGGAGTGCGGGTGGGAGTCCGAGGAGTCCGAGGCGTCCGAGTGAAAGAGGGACGAGCGGGCGCGGGCGAGGCGCGGGGGTGTCGTGGGGAGCGCGAGGGTCCAGTCTGGCTTGGGTGTGGCGGGGCTGGGGCTGGGGGCGAGGCGGGGGTGGGAGCGGCGCTTGGCGAAGGCGTAGGTGTAGGACGGGTAGTCTGCGGAGGTGCGCACGACCTGCACGCGGCCCTTGGCGAACGGGTCGGGGTCCCGGTCCGGGTCGGCGCTGGTGACGTCGTGGGTGGACGCATAGGGGTGGCAGAGGGAGGACGCGGACTCGTCGGTGGAGAGGGACCAGCGCGACGTGGTGGGGGACGTCGAGGGGCGCGGCGCAAAGAGGTCGGTGGTCGGGGTGGTCGGGGACGCCGAGGACGCCGTGGAGAACGAGCGGGCGGACTTTGTCGGGGACGGGGGCGGCGACGCGGCGGTGACGAGGGACGCGGGGCGCGAGAAGACGGCGCGCGGGGTCTTGGGCGGGGCAGGGGCGCGGAGGACGAGGGCCGACGCCTTGTGCTTGAGCTTCTCCAGCAGGCGGCGCGGGCGGCTGGGCACACAGTCGCTCCAGCCAGACGTCATTTTGCAAGGCTGCTCTGCCTCGCCCGGCGCTGCCTTTATGTGTCGGCACCCCAGCTCAGGGTCGAATTGCAGGAATGATTCCGAGAATCGATCACCGTCATCTGTCTCCAGTGCCAGCGCCACCAGGTTCCCGAACTCGGCGATGGAAAACGGCGCAGCGCCCATTCTGTGCTGTCGCGGCGGCGGGGACTGCGAGAACAGACTGGCGAGAGAAAACTTGGCCTTGCCCATCGCACAGAGACGCGGGCCTTATACTGTGTCACGAAGCAGCCCCTCTCCGACTCCCGATCCTCGCTTCTTTCATTAATCCCAAATCTGAATCTGATCCCGACGCTCGACAACTCCTTCCCCGCCTGTCCATGCATATCCTCGACAAAGGAAGCTCACATACCCCGCACGACGCCCTCGCTCCACCGCCGCGCCCACGAGGCCCATTCTCCTCCACCCGTGGCTGTGCTCTCGATCCCCGGGGATATCCAGCCCAATCAATCTCAGCCGACGATCATTGCACGTCACCCTGCGACGTGGATCCCTGGCTCAATTTACCACTGTCACAATTAAAACATACTCGCCCAACGCCGCTGTACCGTAGCGTGCACTCTGTCCGCGTAGCGCGCCCGACATCACCAAATCATTCAATCTCGAAAGACAATCCAAGGCCAATAATGTAATGTCTAACGACTTCGAGTCCGCGTGCCACCAACAATGCACCACGTTCCCCAAATTGCTTCCTTCATTAAAAGATTAAGCTTTCCAACACCGCCGAGCATTGAACCCCGGCCACTCGAAACATTCCACCGCGCACACCAAGACCACATGACGCCGCAGGCGGCCGAAGCATCCGCGAATAGACATCTTGATCCCGGGGGAGATACAGCGGTAGAGATGGCGACCGCACCCCTTCGCAACTTTGAAGCAAGCACTCGAGATCGACGCGACAGCGGGCCCGGCTCGGCATATCCCACGCACGCACGCACTCATTCGTATACCGCGATAATGATAGCTTGCTATCTCGCCGCCAATCCCAGCGCGGCCCCGGCCCGCACCGCGAGGTCAAACATTCAATTCATCGCCAGGAGGGTGCACGGACAACTTGGCCACCTTCGAGTTGAGACTAGCTGCATAGCGACGATCATAGTCGCGCCACACGAAAGCCGACTATGAGATTAATCAACGCCTGTAGACGTGGTAGTGATTATATCAGCCCTCTCCAATATACACCTGGCATCGCAAAGTCATTGAACGCAAGCCACCAAACCCCGCCGGCGTTGCCTCAACCGCCCACTCACAGCTGTCCCATTCCCATTCCGTTCGCATCAACAGTCAACAGTCAAAACACAAACAGTCGCCGGGCGGAAGGCCAAGCGCTTTCCACGTCAAAGACACAAAACAGCGCGCGGCCGGCACGACACCCCCCTCGGCGAAACCGCTAAACAACGTTACAACGTTACAAAGTTCAAAACAAAACAGCGCTAGAGGTCCTGGACACCTTCCTTCCTCGCGAGGACAGGATTCGGCACACGCCGACGGCGCGCGGCTCGCCGAGTCTATTTCAACTGAATCATGATCGGCGTGGGTACGGTTTCGCCTTGAAGCCCAAAGCCCAAAGGCCGCACGGCATCGGCATCGGCATCGCGCAGGGGACCGTCGCCCCGCTGACTGTGTACATGCACACATACATCGAAACTAGGAGATCGGTATCGAGTAGTGTACCTCGATAAGCCAGCAGGTGTACGTGCGGCATCACGAGATGGATAGTGACTTGGTAGTATACGCACTCAAGTAGAACGTCTACACACAGATAACAGCAGCACCGTGACAAGGTTATCCCGCATGGGTGCCAATGCGCTAGAAGGGTGTTCCCGAGCCAAAGCCTACCAGCCGCAAACAGGCCTCACACAAAGCGTGTGATAACGCGGTTCGAAGGCACGCAGGGCACTGGTTTTAGAGCCGCAAACAGGCGTGGCGCCCATGAACGCGCCCCCAAAGGGAGGTCACACTAGGGCCGTCAAAGTACACACCAGACACAAGCATCAATAGTGTAGCGGTTAACATTGGATCTTCCCATTCTCTACGAGTGTTAGGTCTAGCCCCGGGTTCGACTCCCGGTTGATGCATAGCTTCTGGTGACCAACCTTTTTGCAAAACACCACGTGAGCGAGGCCCGTGCGCCGGGGCAGAGATTGGTTTCTCGTATATCCAACTTTATCTTTATCGGCTGCGGTCTTTCTGATGACGGGGCCGCGCTCGAATGAATTGAACCCTGTTTACAAACGACGAAGGTACCTTTCCAATGAAGCGAGCTTGAGCTTGAGCTTGGAGAGCCCACCCAGTACCGAGGATCCCGAATCCGTTCAGCGTGAACGAATGGACAAACGAGCAAGCCTTCACACACACGTTCCCTACGTGGGATCACACGTGACGTTACCGCTATTGTCGTACCTCTCAGGTAGCCACCACCCACCACTCATCGAGAACAAGCGAGGTCAAAGGGTACGTATCAACACAGTCAAAAAGCCCGCCAGCGCCGTTCTCAAGCTCACCCAGTACCGAGGATCCCGAATCCATTCCGCACGAACGAATGAACGAACGAGCAAGCCTTCACACACACGTTCCCTACGTGGGATCACACGTGACGTTACCGCTATTGTCGTACCTCTCAGGTCCCACCACTCATTGAGAACAAGTGAGATCAAAGGGTACGTATCAACACAGTCAAAAAGCCCGCCAGCGCCGTTCTGTGCCCAAGTGAGCTGAGCACATCAACCGCGGCTCCCGTACATCTCGCAGTCTTTTACTTTCAGGACGAGGAAGACGAGTCGTATAGTATAGTATGCCCGCGCTGAGCCCCATGGGGACACCGGGATATCTAGGCGCGTACAACAAGCGCATCACGTCACCCCGCCGTCCCTAGTAGCCGCTGCGAACGTACCCCCGAATGGTACACGAAAGAAACCAATTGGAAGATAGATTCTGCGGCTGGGAGCACCTGGGAGTCAAACCCCGTCATTCGAAGAATATGTATCCAGGAAGATCCGCCCGCCGGTTTGCATTGGCGTCGTATCGGAATTCTCCCGTCAAGGCACTTGTCAGATAAAGGGAGAAAGAATGACGAGAACCTTGGATGGGGAGCCCTCGCCGGTCTGGGTCGGACAGGTACAAGATCGGCTCGAGGTGGGGAAGCAAAACATCAGCGCCAGTCTCGTGTACCAGGCGAGGGTGATGAGGTTGGAGAACTTGTTGTTCGACCAAGGATAGGCAAGGAGCTTTGTGTACGAGCATCATTGTCTTTGGTGTATCTTGGGGCCTGTGTTTGCAGTATTAATCGAGACAACTGAGCAGTTTTCCAATCTCAAAAGATTTATTTTATCTGAGACGTTTACTTGCTGGTGAATGTCAGCGTCCTTTCCACGATTTAGATCTGCATGTCGCGCTGCAGATCCAGCGCAGAGCTCAAGCATGTTACGAGAACTAGGTTATAGCGCGATCGTCTCAACTCAACACGTACGAACCAACCATACTAGCAAAGAATACGAAAAGTGAGCACAGCAATCAGAGTATCTTCATGGTGCACCCTGCCTCAGGTCAACGTTGGCAACAACCATTCCACGCATGGTGGATCTTTAACATCAGTTCGTAAGCGCCGAAGCACGAGCCTAGAGACGACAAGAGAATCCAAGAGCTCTGTGGGGCACAGTGAGAGGTCACTTCAGAAGCAGAGAATCGCTTCCACGCATGCATTGTGCGACACCACCACCCGCTCTGACAGGGCACCACGTCATTTAGGCGTGTTCTTTCCCTGGCTGGGTTTAGGTCGGTGAGAGAAGACCACGGACACGAAGAATTCACAGAGTAGCATCGGCATCCCAAGCAATTCGAAGCTCGGTGTGCTCGAGTCTGACGAAACCGTGTAGAACGTTCCCATATGAGGCATACATGTCCTTAACAAGGTGGATTCACTTCTGAGTAAGGTAAGCACCTTTTCGAAGGAAGGGGAATTTTCCGCTGGGACGCCGGGTAGACTAGTGGCCTGGCGGGTGGAATGGAGGATTGACTGCAAGAGGGGAAAAATCGGCGGAGATGGCGGTTGGGTGCTAGCTGTCACACCGAAGCTAGTCCGCATCTACTAATCAAGGACAAATCAGGATGTGGCTTGTCTCTATACGTTTGCAAGAGGTTGTAACCCTGGTAGTAACTGTACCCAAGCGCCACCAGGGAACGATAATCGTCAAAAGGAACTGAACATCTCCATGCTCACTAATGAAACGCGAAATAGAGCAGAAACCACGACAAATTGCCGCTAACATCGCTGAGAGTTTTTGGAGGATAACGGTACCGAACTGTATATTAGATTCCCGTTAATTATCCTCGGTCTCCGAATAAAGAGCGGGGATGAAGCTAAAACACCCGCCTCATCAAGGACAGCCTTAGATCCTTGGTAAAGGTGCAGAGTATCTCAGGAAGCTCCTTTGTCCGAATTCAGGCGATACTTGTAGGATTCATTTTGCTAACTTTTTATGTGCGCTTGGACCCGCCTTATTCGGAAATACACTTCCCTGAGCCGGGCCGGGAGATAGTTGACCCCTGTTCATGGGCGAATTGTACGAGAAGGCAAAGCGAGAACCTAGATAAGTATCGCACTTGTATCTCAGCGCCGACGCGCAATCATGTGTCTGGACACTGCGAAGACGTACTCCGGTTCATGCCTATGTCGTACAATCCAGTATACAATCACAGGGGAGCCTCTGACGTTCTTTGTGTGCCACTGTGAAAATTGCCGCAAGGCCACAGGCGCGGCCTTCATGGCCAACGCGGTCTTCGAACAAAAAGTACGTGTGGCCCCTTTCTCAGAACGCCTTCGGGTTGAATTCTGAGTTAGGCGTAGCAAGTCGTAGTCACACAAGGAGAAGATAGCATCAGGCGGTTCGGCGACACGCAAACGGGAAGTGGGAAAGTGCTCCAGCGCTCGTTCTGCGTTTCATGCGGTTCCAATGTTTTCCTTGCACACGACACTGGCGATTATACCATTGTGGCAACGGGTACGCTAGACGAAGAACCGGGGTGGGGTGAGTTGCATTGATTGATACCTGCTTGCAAGGTAAATCTAACCCTGTCGGAGTAGTTCCCAGAAAAGAAAGATGTGTTGGGGGGAAAAGGCCGTGGATCGAGAATATCCAGACACAATCATCGAAGCTTTGATGCTTTAGATGTGTAAAGCTCTTTCGGGGTCAATATGGAAATTTGTGAGGTCTTGTGAGACTCAGAAGCTTACTATGCTGCTGCGGCAAATAGTGTCTACACTGCACTGCCTTGAATAAGCTTTTGCAAGTAATTCAGTGCGCGGTTCTTGTGGGTGTGAGAGGAAATCAACAGACTTGTGGGATGAGTTTTATCCGTCATCACAATTGCAAAAGATATGTGATTTTCGACTCCGGGTCCCGATGAATGCCGAGGGCCGGAAATAAACAACTTAACTATGATCCATCTTTCGTTCTGGTGTTCCCAATAAGCAAGCATCTCAGACTTTTGTAAAGTGGAGATGGCAAAGGTGTACCACGGCTCTTGTCTCTGTCGCGCCATCGAATATACCATTACTGGGGAGCCCTTTACCTTCTACGTGTGCCATTGCAGCAACTGCCGCAAATCGTCCGGCTCCGCATTCTTGACAAATGGATTCTTCAAGAAAGAAGTGCGTTATACCACTTAATCTTCTGAGCCATCGGATCTGTATCTGTCCTCAGCAAGTCAATGTCACTAAAGGAAGTGACCACGTCAAAGTGTATCGCGATATGAACACCAAAAGCGGTGCGCCATTGCTTCGGTCGTTCTGCCCGACATGCAGTGCACCTTTGTTTATCGGAAACACCAAGAACACATTCACAATTGTGTCGCTTGGGACATTGGATGACGAGGTTGACTGGGGTGAGTAATGAGAATAATACATCTGCAGCTGCACCGATTCAAAAAAATTGTCACAGTTCCCCGTGGAGAGAGCTTCACCCACTGCAGGAGGCTGTGGGTCGAGAAGTTGCACACTGAACCAAAGAAGAAAGCCAAGCTTTGATGCTTCCGCGAGTCCGAGTGACATTGTATTATTGAACATGTAGCTGGATACTGCATAAGTGATGCGATGTGATTACTCGGGGGTCCATGCATGAACAGCCGGGTAATATATACCAATTCTCCATCTTCTGAATCACGCAGATCCGCATCCTGAGGTGACGCCTCTCATGGATGCCAAGCTTAAGGTTTTGTTAGTTACGGATAATCGGTCTTCTCTTGCAATGTTCACGCAACCAGACTCATACAGGTATGCAGCATGTACGCGCTCGGCTGTTACACTCCCCGGTTGAGACAGATAACACGGTCGGTCTAACAGAATATAGTGAAGGAAGCGGATAGGTGATAGTTTTTCTTTTCTTCTTTTCGTATCTTTTTGTTCAAGTGTCTAAGGCATAAGATAATGTCGAAATTCTGTAGGAAAGGACGATCCAGTCTATACAGTCAAATTCATATACCCGCTGCGTTAGGAGTGGGCTTTAGGGTATCGAGCCCGCAAGAGTCATCTTTTGATTGACAATGATTGACAGTCATATTTCTCCACGTACTAATAGCATCACAACTAATCCCAGCCTATGAAATGAACCCGCCCACGCCTAGACAATTCTTGGAATGATTGCTTGAGCCTGTCTAGGAGCTCGGGCTCCCAATGTTCCCACTCGATGCGCTCGATGATAACATTGATATTTGGCGCCTTTTGTTCAAGTATTGCACGCTCTAGTGAAGTAAAGTCGAAATCGTTCCGGAATCTCAAGTGGATCTCCTCAAGGTTATGTATCACACAGCTCGTTGTGCGGAGGATATTTCTAATCCAGTGGAGGTCCTGTTTGTAGAGAAATCTCACGAAGTACAATGATTTCAAGTTCACCATCTGTCTGAGGGACGGGACAAGGTCAAAACCTGGATCGTCCAGAAAAGGAATATAGATGGGGCCATAGACGTTGTTGATTTGCAATTTGAGATTACGGAGAGTAGAACCAGTAGCCCTTAGAATGGAGTCGACATAGCCTAAGGTGGCCCAACTATCAATCTCGAAATCAAGTGTATCAAGATTCTG